GTCAGCAATTTCTAACAACACGTATGCGCACTGAGCCGAAGCAGGGAAAACTGGTTTCCAACCGGACTGACTCATCCGTTTCAGTGGATGAGCGGCTCAACAGGGAAAGTCGAGGCGGCGTGCAGAGGCTCTTTTCTCTTCCCGACTAATCTAGGAAGATTAAAGGGCCTCTGCTCGCAGGGTAGGATTCTTTCGGTGCGTGACCATTGTATGACATGTTAACGCGAGCAGTGTTGTCTGTGCTCCTACCGACAGCGGCAAATTGGCCAATCACACTGCGAAATTATTGCCAGTTGTGGGAAAAAAGGGTATTCGTGAGGTCAAAGTAGAAAGTTGACAAAATGAGTCAATTGTTCTGGTAATGTCATGAACCCGGTAGGTGGCAAATTCCTGATTCTTTCTGGAACAGTGTATAGATATTCTCGTCTTTGAGCCACCAATGAGAACCCACCTAAAAAGAAGCACGTTCATTAAGCCCTTTTTTTTAAGGAAAATGAAAGAAAATAAATCTCCTTCGGGTTATTTATTCCGTAATACTGAACATTGTGTAATTTGGTTAAACAATACTCCTTTGCCAATCGGGTAAAGTGACTGGTACCAGTGTTTTGAATTGAAATCTGACTAACGGTTCAAGGTTCTATATCTAGTTTCTGCAGTCGCCTCTAGATAAAAACCTTGGAAAGTACGTGAATAACATGATAAGTTTCGCCTTCATCCGAGGACCTTCAGTAATGTATCAGACAAGTATTTATATTAATTACCAAGACTTTCAGCTTAAGAACCTCAGTTAGCTTGTTCAAACTCAGTGCTAATTTAACACCCTACTTCCACTGACATAGACAACAAGCACACAGATTAAGGTGACTTTTTAATCAGCTTTATTCCGTAATTTTTTTTAAATATCCATGACTGCTACTTGCTACTTCATTGTTTTTGTTAAATCTGTCTAGATAACTGACGAACTTCAGGTTGACTGCAACTCAAAGAGGAGAGCGCGTAGGCTTGCACCTGTTTAATCTCTTTTTGCACCATTCGCAAAACCTCTGAAAAAGAAAGCAGACACGATGAACAAACGGCCAATCATCGTTATCTTGTTGTCTTAGAGTCATTGTAATAATGATTCTTATTTCCTTCGTGTTTGGTTTATTATCTCCTTATTGTTTCTCTTTAGGCCAGACTGAACTCTCTTGATGTTTATGCACAGAATCTTATTATGGTAGCTTTATACCTTTCTAAATTAGTCTCAAAAAAAAGTATAAGCTAGGTTTGTTGTTGTCTCTATTTTGTTTAATGCAAAAAATATTGTGTAAAAGAATGATAATACATAGACGAAAAAATTGAAAACAATTGAAACTCCCCAGCATAAATAATAACGAATGATTAGCAAAGAATTTTTTTTGAGTGCAGTGCGTTCTCAAGTTTTTTTTTTTTTAAAGGTTATAACACTTAAAAGAAGAAAGGACAAACTGAATTCAGTCTACCTTTTTCGGTGGTCGAGGTTTACATCTTGGTCGACCGGTTGGTTGGGGTCGACCGCTCGGTCGGGGTCGATGTGCATCATTTTCATCGGAGAATTCGTCTCGTGTCAGCTCGGGAGGAGTCGGTCTGAGACACTTCGAGCATATTCGGAGAAGACATTTGCAAACTTTCTGAAAAACAACGCAAAGACACCAGCGTAAACTCAGCAATTTTAAACTGTCGTTTCTTCAGTGTTGTTTTAGAGTCATAGTTTCAGTTATATTTATTATAACGATAATAATAATGATAAAATTGATAATGATAACATCATAAAAATAAAATCGAAGAGCTTCGAAAAATCGTTAAAAAGGCTAAAATAGTTATTAACAAAACTACATGGTGAGTCTAAAGTGTTTTTTCAAACTGGGCACGTTCTGTCCTGCAGTCATAAGATTGGCTATTAAAGTATTTGAAAGGGGTTAGTACT